ATATATATATATATATATATATATATATATATATATATATATAATATAATATAATTTTATATTAACGTGACACTTAATTATATCACTATGATGTTATCTTTTATTTCATGTCGACATCATGATGTAAAAAAAGTCTATAATTTTATAACAAAATTTGACAATAAAAGTTAAAATTAAAATTTTAGAATTTAAAAAGCTGAAAAATGAAATTGTGTCAAATTATATGGACAAAAAATATTTAGACCTATATATGCAACCATTTTGATATTATATGATAAAGTATAACATGTTTTCAATCCCTCAAAATATTTTAGAATGTTAATTTTAGTTCTTATAAGAACTTAATATATTTTTAATATTTATATTTATCAAAAAATAGTATATTTTTAATCTCTTAAATTTATTTATTTTTTATAAATAAAATAATTAAAAACATATTAAACTTATATAAAAACTAAAACTAATATTTTAAAATATTTTAAGAAATAAAAACATATTTTACCTCTTAACTATTTATTTAGTTTTTATACATATACATTCTTTATATTTTAATCGTTATACTTACAAACTATTTGTTTTAGTTCTTACACATACATATTTCAACTCCTTTTAGTGTTTACACATATACTTAATTTTTAAATTGTTTTATTAACTTAAATTTTGGACGGAAGATAGAGGATTAAAAAGCAATCTGAGTAAAGACTACAACACATAGTTTCTAGGTATAAGATTAAAATGTAAAAGTTGTACATATACAAAGATGAAATGGGTACGTAATAAGACTTATTTTGGAATGTGTTAAATACATTAATTAAGAAATCATGTAATTGAAATAACTTTTAAATTTTAAATAAATTGAGTTAGTATAACGGTTCATGCCTCTTCCCTTTATAATAAGACTCACGATCCAAACATATAAAATGTTGACAAGTATTTTTTCATGAATAATACTTTTTTAAAAAAAAAAAACCAATGGCCTTTATTTATGAGGATGTGAATTGGATACCTAAAAAATTGTTTCTTGAGGATCTTTAATCAATTAAAGAAACTTTTAAAAAAAAATTAATGATTTAGATAAATTTAAAAATCAATTATCAAAGAAAGACAAACTTGATCAATCTTAATGAATGCAAATGATAGATTATACTATATGATTAATATGAATACTCAAATGAAAAAGATAACAAAAATAAGAGAATATAAGATTTATATTGGTTCACTCTCCAATATACCATTGGACAAGTCTTTTTCAAACAAGTGTACCTCCGCCTTATACTCGATGAAATTTTCTCATTGAAAAACACACTCAACCTTAATTAGGTGTAAAAAAAAGAATTCATCTTAGATGTTATTTAAGTACGTTTAGATAACAAGATACGTAGTTATAATTTTATTGATTAAATAAAAAAGATGTGAAAACTCTTTTTAACTAGGGAACTAAAACAATAACCTATTTCAAAATCCTTCATTACATATTACCATGCATGCAAGCCTCTTATTTTCACTTATCTTGCTAGGTTCAATAGGGATTTGAAATGAAGAACTAGGGCAAAGATTGTTCTAATGCATTGCTCAAACTCAAATGGCTTCATAATCACTTCCTCTGCTTTAGAATAAGCCTATCAACAAGTACAAAAGTTGAATCTTAAGTCAAAGGTGCTTCAGTAACCAATCCTTGAAACGCATTAGGCATAATCATGACAAAAAAAGGAGCTAAATTACCTAGTCAATTTGCAATTGACAAGAACATTCACATAATAAGCCACAAAATCTACTCAACGATAGTACTCACATCACCCAAATTTGTAAGCATCACAAAAGTTATTAATGAGAGAATTAATGACAACAACATGTAGAACCACATTCACATCATTTATAATCTCTCCAAAGACCTTGGCAAATCAGGATTTTAGGTGGGGATGATTTACTCCAATATCGAAATAGTTGTGGTTGTTGCCATAAAAATGTCAAGCTTTGGATTATTATCCTCACGAACACAGTATTTGATAGCAAAAATCGGTCGCTATTTATCTTAGCGACCGAATTAGCGACCTTGACAAATGACAATGTTGCTATCAACAGATACAAAAGTGTGTTTTTATTAAGAATTAAATATATTTTTAATTTCTTAAATTTAAGATAAATTTATTTTTAATTTCTTAAATTTAAAATTATTATTTTTAATTTTTATATGAACAATAACTATCTGATGAATATGCGAATTGAACAATCAATTTTTTATATTCCCTTCTCTCTTGTATTTTGTTGTTATTTTCTCTCAATGACAATTCGGTCTCTTCTCTTTAGAGCACAAGTGTGAGACCCCCGCAGCCTTTACCTCCTTTTCTCTCCTCCCTCATTTATTTTGTCATATTCACTCACTTTGCCTTGGATTCCTGGTGTTTTTGGTGGTTGTGGTGATCTAGGTGCTGATTGAGGTGTTGGAAGCTAGTGAAGTCTTCTTCTCCGTCTCGATTCTCCTCTCTTCCTTTTCTCTTTTCTTCCTCCGTTGAGCTTATCTCCTTCCTGGAAGCTCGGAGCTTCGAATTGAGGTAAGGGAAGTTAGATTTCTGCTGTGGTTTGGCTGAAGATGAGTCTAGAAACTCATTTGATTGCTGAGGATTGATTATTTTTGGCTGTGAATTTCTAAGATTTTTCGTTTGGGGTTTTCGGGGCTTTTGAGAAATTTTGGGGAATTCTTGATTTGGTGTTGCATGTACAAAAAGATGGTATTTCTGAGCTGTTGGATGAAAATGTGATACTTTGAACCATTTGCATGTAGATTTTCTGTTGATTTTTGCAGGTTTTGGACAAATTTTTGAACTTGGGAGAGTTGCTGCTGAGCTTCGCGCTGGGCGCTGTTCTTCGCGCCAGGCGCGTGACCACCAGGGGGCTCTCTTTAGGCAAGCCTGCCGGGTGCAAAAGTGTGTGCGCTGGGCGAGCTTGAGAATGGGAGTCTCTAGATGGCCCACGTTGGGCGTGACTTGGATCGCATCGGGCGCGATATCAATTGTGACATCTTTTGGGGTTTCTGGTGCTGTGCTAGGCACGAGTTTGGTCTCGCTGGGAGCGGAGGCCCCTGGGATGTCTCTGCCATGAGGGCGCTGGGCGCAATTCGAATTGCGCTAGGGGCGAGACCTTGGTAGGTCTCTGCCTTCCCCACGCCGGGCGCGGGTTAGGCCACGCTAGGCGCGTGAGACTCCTTGGAGTCTCTGCCTGGGCATGCGCTGGGCGCAAAGCTGAATTGCGCCAGGCGCTTGAGAGTCTTGGGCTCTCTGGATGGGTCACGTCGGGCGCGAGTACTCTTGCAACGGGTGCGATGCTCCCCTGGTGCTCTCTGGTTGTGCCACGCTACGGGCGGCCATGAGTGCGCCGGGCGCGTATGATGATGATGACTTATATGCTGATAGTGCAAGTCATATGAACTATTGGCATTCCTTTTGTTATTGTTAATTGGTTCTGTATTTAATTTTTGGCATCACTGTTAAGAAGGTTGTAAAAATATAATCAGCAGCAGCCATCGATTGAAGTCTGTCTCAAGTTTAAATCTTTTGCTCAACGATAAGCCTCATTTGCTTAATTTTTAACACTGTATGGTGATTTTTTTTTCTTGATTAAAGAGCAGCTTACTTAGCCAATACATTTGGACGTATTATCAGATGTTTTCTTGATGATATCTTAAATTGTCACTACCTCTGAGGCCTTGTCTTACCCTGAATATTGTCTTTATTTTTACATCTGATCTACTTTCAAGTTATTGCTGCCTATTAATGCACTTTGACAATTATGTTTTTATGCCCTGAATTTACTTGGTCCGTTTATCTTCGAAGTCATTCATTGTCATAGTAAGGTAAATTTGTAGGAGTTGTTTTGTATTTGCTTATACCAATCAAAATTTTCTAATTTAGCAACCGAAATAGCGACCGAATTCAATTCGATCGCTAATTTTAACTAATACTTAGCGACCGAATTCAATTTCGTTGCTAAATTTAACTACTATTTAGCGATCGAATTCAATTTCGTCGCTAAGTTTAACTATTATTTAGCGATTGAATTTAATTCCATCGCTAAATTTAACTACTTTTTAGCGACCGAATTCAATTCCGTTATTAATTTAACTATTATTTAGCGACCGAATTAAATTTCGTCGCTAAAAAAAATCAAAATTTATAATTTAGCGACCGAAATAGCGACCGAATTTAATTTCATCGCTAAATTTAACTACTTTTTAGCGACCGAATTTAATTTCGTCGCTAATTTTAACTAATATTTAGTGACCGAATTAAATTCCATCACTAAAAAATCAAAATTTATAATTTAGCGACCGAATTCAATTTTGTCCCTAAATTTAACTACTATTTAGCGACCGAATTCAATGTCGTCGCTAATTTTAACTAATATTTAGTGACCGAATTAAATTCCATCACTAAAAAATCAAAATTTATAATTTAGCGATTGAAATAGAGACCGAATTATTTCTGTCGCTAAAAAAATCAAAATTTATAATTTAGCGACCAAAATAGCGACCGAATTTAATTCTGTTGCTAAAAAATCAAAAAATTTTATTTAGCGACCGAAATAGAGACTGATTTTCTAGCGATGACTTATTTTGGTCGCTAAATCGGTCGCTATTTTGATTTTTCATAATCGGTCGCTAAATCATTCGCTAAATAGCGATTGATAAATTTCGGTCGCTAATTTCGGTCGCTATTTTGCAATTTTTTAGTAGTGATATTTCTTTCAAAAACCCTTGTTTTAGATGTACTTTGAGTATATTTTATTATATTTTAAAATGATCCATAGAAAGTTATGTATAAAACTTCTTGTAATTGTTATAATTGATTAAGTGAACATGTATCAATTAAAACATTCTTTAACTCTTATGGGATGATTCTTGAATGAATTTAATCAATTAAAACAAAGATTTTTTTTATTTATAGAAATTAGCATTTAAAAACAACTAACATCAGAAATAATTAATCGATCAAAACATAAAGCTTTGGAAAACATGTTTTTCAAAATATACTATGTAATTGGTTACAACATGAAAATCAATTAAAACAAAAAAGATAAAGTTTTCTCAAAATATTAAATTTGACCCCTTGTAGTCTATTACAATTATTCTTAAGTGAGCCTTTTCTTTTATGATCTAAATGAGGTCCTTTTCAAATTCACATTTAATTACGAATTTTAAACTTGAAAAGCCAATTTTATTTTCTCTTTAAATTAATTATAAGTTTTAAATTTTGGTATGATCAAGTTTATATGAACTCATCACCACAACAATGTTTCTAAACCTATGACACAAGAGACGAAACTAAAACTATAGCATCTTAATCTTCAAAGCTTTGAGATTTTTTTTTTTTGTCTTCATTTGATTTCTAACAATTTTCATTTCCCAAAGGCCGGAAACAGTGTATAGCTATACATTGAAACACATTATTTTTAACATATTATCTGTAATATTGGTCAAACTCAAATTATACATACAATATATTCAATTAAAAAAAGTTTCATATATTAAATTTCAAACAGTGCTAGGAATACCTTAAAAAAGTGAATTACGTAAATGACCTAACGAGAAAAATGAAAAAAGCTGGCCAAGATGCATGGAACATTGTTTATGGTTTTTCACGAAAGTTCTTGTACATATAATTTTGGGTTGGAGTCATACCAAGATACTAAATTCCTGTTCATGTCTCTTTTCCTACTCTTTTAATTAAAAACTAGGTGAAAGATCTGGTTATATATATATATAT